ACTCTACCTAGAAGGAAGGGGGGTCTGGGGGCGGAGTCCCCCAGCATGCAACAAGTTAGAAGTGATCGACGATGGACAAGCCATTGCCTGCCGAAGGCAGGCTAGCGCCGTAGGCCAAGGTAGGTACCGTGAAACGGGGTAACTTCGGACACTTTTGAGAGTTTTTTTTGAAATTGTGAAAGTTGTGGTGCTGTCATGGACTTGAGGGTTAAAATTTATCATCTACGCACCTTAAGCTTCGATTTGGCGCTTATTTCAAATATTTGCACCTCACCGTTTTTACAGTGGAGGGTCCGAAGCAATGTCCGAAATTACCCCGTGTTTTGGGGTAATTTCGGACACCCTCGGAAAAAACGACTTTTCGTTCTGATTTTGGTCCCAAAATCGATCACTGTCTCTTTCTAAAGTGCTAATATGATTATGTGAGAAATACGTAAGGGTTTAGATGTAAAAGTAAGGTAGGGGTGGTCATTCATACATAATTTTAAGCCATGTATTGCACTCATATGTAGTCCAATTTCAGAAATAGTGGGTGGAACTAGTAGAGCCATTTAGAACGCTTCTATTTGTTATTTTTTGACCGATTAGCTTTCACAGGCAACTCGGGCCATACTTTATTACGCGAAAGTGAATCTTAAATCTGCCTCTACAAGATTACATACGATCACATACATGCATATGAAGGGCAAAGACGTGTCGTATGTACGGTTAGGAAGATACAGGGGCTCAGTGGAAAGCGTTGCATAGTAAACCGGCGAGCTATGCAGCCATTCGCCAAGTCCAACTCTCATGTCACATGAAAGAAAATTAATCACAAAACAGTCGTTGACACTAAGGTAGAACACGCACATACAAAAACTAAGTATTAAAGATGTAGCTTTGCCCCATTTTCATGAAATTCGAAGTTTACAAAGAAACCGCTGTAACAATTGAGGATTATCGTTGTTATTGGATTATCTTCAACTTTCAGAAGAGCTCTTCAGCTTCCACCACTCAAACCCTGCGAAATTGGAAGTGTTCAGGACATACCCACTCTCCCTGGCGTGACGTTTGTATGTCCGAAATTACCCCGTAAAGTAGCATTTTTTAAGTTTTAAGCCCATATAAACCATACTATTTGACCCAGGTGATTTAAAATTTGACACAGTATGCTCTTAACATGATTGAATCGACAAACAATCCCCTCATGAACCGGCCATGAACAGTTTCGGCTTGCCAGTCAAAGTTTTTACGCATAAAGCGAATTTAGGTAAAAATGGTTAAATACAAAAACCACTATTTCTCCTGGAGTTTGCACCTGATTTGGCCTCCGGGTGATTGATCAGATGGTTTTAAGTGTGGCCGATGCGATGCGCGCATCGGGACAAGCCTCCAAGTTGGCCGTTAGATGGGAGCATCATCGCAATGCTTCCGGGCAGAGTTGTCCGAAATTACACCGAGTGTCCGAAATTACCCCGTTTCACGGTACACTGTTAAAAAAAAATTCTGAAAATTCAGACTAAATGAACTGAAGAAAATTTCGCAAAAGGCACTCCTAATTTTCAGACCAACTTTTTCAGAAACATGCGGTCTGAAAATTCAGACCTGTGAATTCAGACCACAAGTCTGAATATGTATTAAGACCTCAAGTCTGAATTGATATTAAGACCGCTGGACTCTGAAATTTAGGAATTCGGTAGCTTAAAATTGAGATGTCTTATTTCTTAAAAAAGGGCTTCCTGGTCTGAATTTCCTTTCAGCAGTTCACTCCCATACCCCGCGCCTCCCTCTTTGTGCGCAGTGCGGGGAAGGTAATATATGAAAGTTGATCCAACCAATGCTTTAAGAAGGATGAAAATTGCTGTGGCTAGTAAAAGTCAATTTTGTAACCTTAAGGAACTGTCAAGTGAAACTTGCATGTCCTAGAAATATATGTCACAGGAAGTTCATTTTGAGGTCAAAACTCCACCACTATTAGATAAATTTATTCGCAAAGTTGGGGACTCCAACTCTAATTAGTTTCTGAGATATGGAGGTTTACGCAAACTTTTAGTCGTTTCCTCCAAATTCTTCTCACGACAAGGGATTAGCTACCCAGTCTTGAGATTCTGGTAATTATATCTATTTTTGCATATGAAGAAGAAAGAGTTGTCAAATTTGAAAAAAAAAAGTCCAGAAGAGGCTGTAAAAGCTAACTTATCAGGCCCACTTTTATTTTTCTTCAAATTTAAAAGATTTTGCCTTATTATTGGTTTATGGTTTTTCAGGAAAACTAAGGGAGATATTTTTGAAAAAAGCAACACTATCTATTTCCTTTGCAAAAATAGATATAATTACAAGAATATGAAGACTGGGTAGCTAATCCTTTGTCGTGAGGAGAATTTGAGAGAAACGACTAAAAGTTAACGTAAGCATCCATAACTCAGAAACTAAAATAAGGTGGTGTACAACTCTTAGTGCATGAGTTAATGCAATGGAAAGGAACTTTTATCCAGGTTATGAGACAAGCATTTTTTTAAAAAAAGTTATTAAGTCACTTTGGTCACTTCAGTCATCATAACCATAAATTTCTTTGCTTATCATTGCAAAATCAACTCAAACCTTGGTTGTAACATTTAACTCACTGTGGCAAGCACACATCCGACACGCAACGGTGCACACGAAGTGAACGTATCAGATTCGCCCAACCAGAAGTTTGAACTAATATCCGATGAAGGCACTTTGGGGACGAGTGTGAACGGGGAGAGGCGAATAACTTAGAACACCTCTCGCCCTCTCACCGCCCGCCCCTTCAGTTTCGGGAAATGCGTACAGCGAGCGCAGAGTCACTACAGCGTCAAGAAGGGTCATCAGCAGAAAACACTTCGAACTAAAATGCACTTCTTTCCGTCGACATGACTTCAGCGCGCCGAGCGAGTGGACCTGACGCAAGTAAAACGCGATGTGTGCACCTTGAAAGACTGCTGGAGACTGATGTTTTGCGTGCAGGGCGCCGGGTCGGCCAAAACTTTCCGAGTTGCCGACGGATTAACGCTCCCCTCCTTGCCGAGCCAATCAGAGGGCGCCTCCAGCCGGCCCTGCCTCGCCGGACTTTCCGAGAATGCACCGGCGGAGACAGTCCTGAGGCCGCTGCACTGGGCTCGGCTCGGTGCTCGGCGCTGCTCGGTGCCGAACGAACTCAGCCGAACAAGTCCGAGACAAACTAGATCGCTTTCGGGCCTACTAGCTTAGCTGGTCAAGGTGCTCCCAGAGCACTATAAAGAGGGCTACTCTGGGGCTCAAGGTGCTACCTTCGGGGCAGTCCGATTAAGGCAGCGTATGTAGAGAGAGGGGGCGGGAGTCAGACGAGTCGGGCAGAAAATTAAGACCGGGCGCTGAATTTTACTTTCAGACTCGCGGGGCAAATTATTAAACCTTGCCAAGTCTGAATTTTCAGACCGCCACGTCTGAAATTTTTTTCAGACTACAAGGTCCGTATTTTTAGACCTGCGGTCCAAATATTAGGACTCTAGTCTGAAAACGAAATTCAGACGGACAAGTCTAACACTTTCGGTCTGAATTTTCAGAATTTTTTTAACAGTGTACGCCAGGCGCGGATTGGAGGAACAGGCAGCGAAACATCGCGAAGCCTGTTACGACAAGACGCGGTCTGGCGTAAACCTACCTTGTAGTAACTATCTTGCTTGATTTTGAAGATCGTATATTGATTGGAACTGTACTTTCAGAACGCGTACTAAATGTCCACCGTACTCCGACTTTTACCTCAGCGGTTTCAAAGTAAGCACCAAAAAAACTACTAGGAGTGCTTCTTGCTCAAAACCACCGCCGTATTCAGAATCAGCACGGTCTGTTTACCACATGAACGAATTTCGGTGGCGAAAAAGTGAGGGGGGTGCGTGTGCGAGTGGAAGTTGTGTGTGAAATCGGTGGGTTGTAACAATTGGTGTAATTTCCGTATGCCCCTCTCGCTGCTCGTCTATTGGGTTTTGAAAGACATCCTACACGTGAAAAGGTGTGTCTTGACGTCGAACTAGTTTGCCAAACTTATGGCATATTTCTGTGGCGATATGCAGTTGCAGTGAGCCAGAAACACCTGTTCGTGATTTCCGTAAAGCGTAATTTCCGTCATATTTTCAGTTAATTTCATCATATTTTATAGGGGGAGAAAACGAAAGTCAACTTTTAGCTCGCCCACGCTCAGAGTGTCTTCCTGGGGTTCAATTGATGCCATCTAGGCCAAATTCCGGCCGAACAAGCAAGATTGATTACTTGACTTTCTTAGGTTAGGTTAGGACCGAAGATAGGAAAACTATAGGAAAACTATAATCAACGCCCTTTTGCGAACGTTATTGTCTGTGTATGATCTAACAACCCAGAGAGGCTAATCGGCCAAATCTGCATTTCGCTCCATGCACTAGGGTCAACTTGTCAATAATTGACATATTTTGTCAAAAACCCTCTATGTAGTTTCCCGTTTCTCAAATACTAATTGTGATGTTCTGCACCTCTTCCACCTTTCCGCGCATGCCCTGAGGCCTCTGAAACAAAACCCTGCCGCGGGTTTGACGCTAGGAACCCCCGTCGCTGAATGGCAGCACCAACAAGCTGTACAGAGCAGACTGTCCGAAGTTACCCCTGGTGTCCCAAGTTACCCCCGTTGACGGTAAAAACAGCACGATGGTTGGTTTTAAAAACTTTATAAACTCGGGAGGGGTGATTTCGGAACGCGGGTGACTTTTGTTTGGCGAACATGAGCACTGGAAGTCGCGAGATGGAGTGTGGTGGTCATGGTGTTCATTGAATCAGGTTTGACCAGAACTCTTTTGTATTGGTAGTTTGAATATAGCGCATGCGCACTTTGAAATTTTGGGATTTCCTCATAATCATTGAACAGGTGACACTGGCACGGTCCAATACATGGCTATTTCAAAATAGCCAAATGTTAAAATGGGAACACCTGGCAATGCGATTAGCATTGGAATTTTTTTAAGTAAGCCCATGGATTTACTATGCAGAAATCATAAAATCACAATTTTACTAACTTTATTACCAAAAGAGTCTGCTCAGTTTTCCGTGTGAGTGCTCTTATCACGTTTAAACTTCCAGTGTACATTACTCAACACAGACGGCTTAACATTTCCTACACTCTCCGGTTGTTTTTCTTTCCGATCACGAGGGCATCCAGCTTGTAGACGCGCCTCCGCGAAGGAGAGGACTGGGCCTTTGAGTGTGCTTCTCGAACGAAACGACGACGTCCGCCACGGCCATGTTCGTCGTGAGGAAGTCGCGCAAGGTCCTCACGCCGCTGCGGTACGGTCTGTCCAGCGGGAACCCCATGGCGCGCTCGTCCGGGTAGTGGCTGCTGCCGGGCACTCCGCACAGCAGCCAGCCGTCATTGCAGACCTCCGAACCCGAAGCGGGAGCCTGGGGAGCGGTCTGGTTAATCGTGGAGCCTTGCGAAACTTGCAAGTGGCATGAGCATGAGGCGGCAAAGTACACTACAAACCTAACTGTCTACTAAGTGCACACACTTACAAATGCATGATTGCAAAGTACACACACTTACAAACGCATGCTTGGCCAAGTGAGCACTTACAAATGCATGCTTGCAAGTACACACTAACGCATGCTTAGCGCCGTATAACTATAGGCGTTTGTAAGTGTGTACTGGCAAGCATGCATTTGTAAGTACTTAGTAGACAGTTAGGTTTGTAGTGTACTCAATATGCACACTTTATTCGTTTGTATGCGCAAAATTGTGTGATGCATCGTACTAAAATAGTACAAACGAATAAAGTGTGCATATTGAGTATACACTACAAACCTAACTGTCCACTAAGTACTTACAAATGCATGCTTGCAAGTACACACTTACAAACGCCTATAGATAGCATGGAGTTATACGGCGCTAAGCATGCGTTAGTGTGTACTTGCAAGCATGCATTGAATTGTGCGATGCAACGTACTAAAATTCGTACGCAATTTTCCACGAAGTTGTCCGTGCGATTCTGCGCTCAAATTTGTTCGGTCAAGTGAGCATGTTAGGAAATGTGGGAGACCACGTACAAACTTGTACAAATACACTCAGTGTGTGTTCCGTCTTCTAACCTTGTCTTGCTCGTAGTCCGTCACCATGGCCAGGATCTTGTAGGGCGTGCCTGACTCACTGCCCCTAGGCAGCAGCATGCCCTGGGGCCACCCACAGCGGCAGCTGTTGACGCGGTGGACCTCGGACCTCTTGGACTGGGGCGAGAATATAGCGTCGTGGTCGATGGACAGCGCTGAGGAGGAGGACGCTCTCCGCACGGTGTTCACGCCAGGCTTCACTGCAGGACGAGATCTCGTTATCGCAGCTTATGGTGCACCATGGTTTTCAGAAGTGCATGTTTCCCTTTTTTCTAAATACAAGTTTGACGCATGTTTCCCGGCCTTCACGTAAAATCACGTTGAAACAAGTGTCACAAAATGTCACGTGCCTCTGAGCATTGTCACTCGTTAGTATGTGAACATGTTCAAACCAATGTGACACAACGCTCAAAGAAACGTGGCATTTTGTCACATTTGTATCAACGTGATGTCACGTTTTAGAAGTGAGAGTAATGCCAGAATCAATGCAGATTAGTTTTAAATATAATAAGAAGATGGCGTTGACATTTTGAGCCTAAACATCTGGTTGCAAAATATCAATTGGGACCGGAATAAGTTCCTTGCATAAAGGTCACTGTGTTAAAGTTGCCTGCCTGTTATCCCGGACGTGAGACGGAATTTCATCAGACTTCATTCAATACCTCAAGCAGTAGCCCCCCTTTTCCTGATGAATTCCTGCTGCTTTAACTTACGTGTTGTTTCAAAGGTGTCCATCTGAATACTAAAGCGACGTTGGAAATCCAAATCCACTTCGTCCCCGTTCTCATTTTTCGTTATCAATAGGAATATCCGAATGAACACTTTTCGTTTTGTTTTCTCAGAGTTCACTAGCTGCAAACAGTAACAAAATGAGACCTCAAGGTTCATGCCAAGCGGAAATGTGAGAGATACCACTTAATGCATTATTTTAGGCAGAAGGTTTGTGTTTAGATTTCAGTTTACAGTAAATAAGCCCTGCGCCAGTAAATAAGTCCTGCGCCCGAACCTTGAAGACGTAGTTGAAGCGCCTGTGCTGCAAATGCGTGAAGCGGGCGTACTGGCGGCCAGGCGGAGTGTAGTCCAGACCCAGCGAGACGTCCAGGTCCGTCTCCTGCATGAAGGTGCGCAGGACGTTGTCCCGACTAGCGCCTTCCGTCCGCACCGCCACCGACTGGAGCCTCACTTTGGGGAGTGGCGTGACCTGCGCACCATGGTGCATTCGTACACGGACTAGGAAAGCTCGCTCCCGTAAGAGCGCTTTTGACAAGTAGTACAAGTAGGACACTGAAAAGTTCTGCACGTTAGTACGGAAAATTTTCAGAAGAATTTATACGGAAGTACGGAAAATATGAGAATAAACGGTCGTGCTGACCTCAAGTTAACAAGTACGGAAAACAGGTATGGAAGTTCCGTACTTGGCAGACATGTTCCATACTTTTTCCTGTTACTCCTCACAGTGTACAAGAGGTAAATTTTTACTCTCGTGTAGAATTTCAGCGCCACTTAACTCCAATTTCTTTCTTTTTTTTCTTTTTTGTAAATGGTATCTGGAGTTGAATATTATCAATATCTTTGAACTATATCGTTGTCACACGAAGTTTTACGAATAGGAATCCTCCAGGTAACAGCAGTCTGCATCAACTCACATCGCGTGACGTGTACGGCCTCAATTTTCGTTTGTACTTTTCATACAAATCGTCCATTAGCTTGTGTATGTTGTAGAAATTGGGGTCCTTTGCGACAGTCGTTATGTACGATGTCACTGCGAACGGCTCCTGGAAGACGATAAATGATTTGATGTTGATTCAATGCTGATCTTGTCACGCATGTAAAGATTCTTAAGGATTCCCACTCCTCTGAATATTGACACAGGACAGTCTTTCCCGTCTCCTGCTGTCTCATCTTACCTTGTAAAGGCCCAACGGGTCTGCGGCCTTGGACAAACTTCCGTGCATGTTGTTGTGGATATTCCCGTAGAAGTCAATGTTTGGCGACAAAAGGGCGTTGCCCTCGAGGAGGTTACTGACGATGTCCAATCCCGCGATGCCCACCAGCTTCACTTTCGTACCGTTTTTCTATGAAAGCAAGAAAGAAGTTCACGTTATAACGTTCTACCAGGGCGCGGTAAGTAAACACTTATAGAGTTTTCGGGTGCTTGCATCTCGGAAACGATTAGAGATAAAAAGTTTACCGAAGTAAGTTCCCAAATGGTCTGAAACGTCCAAAGATACACTGAAAACCTAGCGAGATCCTTATCTTAACATTTAAGGGGGCAGTAGCGTCTTTTGCACGTGTTTTGACGATTTTCGAACCTCCTGTTTAGACGTCAATATAAAGATAAGTATGAATGCCAGAGGCAAACGGCAGGCACCATTTGAAAGATAAAAGTTTTTACAACATTTTCAAAAAAAAATATTTTGTTTTAGCATTGAATTAGGATGTTTTGTGTTCTATGCAAAAATGGTCTGCAAAATTACATGGTGTCACTGCGCGCACGATTGCAGCCAAAGTTTTTAACTTTTTACCAATCGGTAAAATGCATCTGAAAAAGCATAAAATTGCCCATAAAATGACCCTTGGGTTTCAATATTGGGCAAGAAAAACTATTGAAACGCTCATCTTCAACTTAAGATGGAAACGAACCACATTTTTTCTGGCCCAATATTAAAACCCATGGGTCATTTTATGGGCAATTTCATGCTTTTTCAGATGCATTTTACCGATTAGTAAAAAGTTAAAAACTTTGGCTGCAATCGTGCGCGCAGTGAAACCATGTAATTTTGCAGACTATTTTTGCATATAACACAAAACATCCTAATTCAATGCTAAAACAAAATATTTTTTTTTGAAAATGTTGTAAAAACTTTTATCTTTCAAATGGTGCCTGCCGTTTGTCTCTGGCATTCATACTTATCTTTATATTAACGTCTAAACAGGAGGTTCGAAAATCGTCAAAACACGTGCAAATGACGCTACTGCCCCCTTAATTAACACTACTTTCATAAAGTAACAAATGACAGTGTTCACTCAAGGTTGAGGGTATGGACTATTGCAAGTAACTCCAAATACAAATTCCAGACGCTAGAAAAGTAACTTATCCTTTGTGAAAGAAGTCAAAGATTACGAGCTGTAACTCAAGGCTTGCGATTACGTTATGATCCTGAACTGATCCAGGAAGCGGAAGAAGGGAATAATTCGACTTATCTCCAAATTGAGTTTTTGAAATATAATCGTGCCTCAGAATGGTTTGCATCATTGCACCAAATTATTTCATCCAGTTCCTATGGAGAAAATCCACTTTGAAAAAAGATACAACTCAACTTGACCCCTTTTACACCCTAAATTTAGCGGAAAATGGAAACAACTCAACCAAAGTCAACATGACTCCGATGAACATATTGTTGATATGTGATAACTCAACTTGTGTTTTTATGTATCGACTGTAAAAAGAATCAAGTCAACTTAACCCCCTTTCACTTTAAGAACCATAACGGAAAAAAGAGATAAGTCCAAAAAATGCACCAGAGGAACCAATACTCTCTCCTGACTACAGTTCCACTTGACTTGTCTCCAAATTCCAATTCGTATAGAAAATATAAGTTGCGATGACTCTGTTTTCCATTTTACCGGAAAGTGATAAGTCACAGAAATCCTATACGCAGTGACCTGACACTCCTGATGTTCATCTCATAATTTAACTAACGCTCCTTGAACTTGTTATCATCTATAACATTCCATTGATTAGTTTTAACTTTCCCTGCTAACAGTTTTTGGTTTTCCTGAAAAGTGGTCAAAATGGAGTTATCCCCTTCTTCCGCTTCCTGGATCAACTTATCTCGAAAGTCGAATTATTCCCTCCTTCCGCTTCCTGGATCACTTATGCGTGTATTCATTCAGTACTTCAGTGTTTTCTGTGTGTTCTCAGTTTCAGGGATCCTGAACATTTTCAACAAATCGAATTATGAGGGGCAACGCCCTTACCGATTTAGGAGATTACTGAGTGAAGGATTAGAAGTCAACCTGAGTTTCGCAGGATTTGTACCTGGCTTGGTGCGCTCATAGCTTTTAAAATTGCTGACCCGCAATGGGTTCCAGAAATAAATTGAGAGCCAAGACAGCCTACTCTACAAACTTAAGAGAGTGCATGGCATGCTGCCCCAGGGAGTATGCCACAAAGCACGCTCCATCCTGGAGTTTGCTTGCAAGCACAGTCTACCCAGGAGCATGCTTGGCAAGCACGCTCTGCTCTACGGAGGAGCGAGGAGCATGCTTCCAAGTACACTCCAGGATAAAGCGTGCTGCGTCGCTACTGCAAGGCCTCAATCAACGAAGAGGCACGCCTTCATCCTAGAGTGTGCTTGGAAGCATGCTCCTCCGTAGAGCGTGCTTGCCAAGCATGCTGTTGTGCTGCTTTGTGGCATACTCCCTGGGGGAGCATGTCATGCACTCTCTTCAGTTTCTTGCGAGTATTTTTGAAACGGCCGTAGACCAGTAAACGAGGACGATAGACGGGGCTGCTATGCTGCAAAACGATGTCAAGAGATCACGCCTCAAAGCTAATTACTTTGGCTACTTAGTTCAAAATTTATACTTTGCATTTAAAAAAACAAAACGAAGTGACCCACAATTGATATGTGCCTTGGAATGGTTTACTTTACATCATTGCACCAAATTATTCGACTCAATTCCCAGCAGTCAAGGAGGAAATTGACATCGAAAAAAAAGTAACTCAACTTGATTTCTGTTACGCTCCTAATTTGGCGGAACGGAAACAGCTCAACCAAAGTCAGCATGACGCCGTTGGAAATACGTATTGTGGATAGGGGATAACTCAACTTTTGTTTTTCGTTATCATTTGTAAAGAATCAAGGCAACTTAACCCCCACTTAGGAACTCTAATAGGAAAACGAGGCAGGTCCAAAAAATACTCCAGAGTAATCAACATCTTTTGCTGACTAAAGTTTCACTTTACTTGTCTGCAAGTTGATATGACTCCGTTTTCTAATATAGCAGAAAGTGATGAGTAAGAAATCCTCTACGGAGTGTCCTCACACTTCTGTTGTTAATATCAAAATTTTACTTATGCTCCTTGTACTTTTTTCATGATCTATCTCTCGTTTAGCTTTAGTTTTCCTGGCTAGTATATTTTTGTTTCTCCGGAAAATGGCCAAAATGGAGTTATCCCCTTTTCCGCTTCATGGATCAAGTTTTCAGTGAAAGTATCTTAAGTTATGATTATGCTGTCACAAATCGATCTGCTTTATATCGTAATGGGATGAAATAGAACTTAATAAGGAGGTCACAGCTCTCGAGAGCAAATCCGCCATCTATCAAACAAGCCTTAGGAATTACTACTCGATGACTTACATACACCACATAGTCCTGTTTAAGTACTTCCTCGTACAAGGCTCTTTGCTTGAAATGATTCTGCACGAAGTCTTTTATCGGCTGTAACAAAAACAGAAGTTATAATGAAGCTTTCGTGACTTTCTATTACACCTTCTCTTTGAAGGCTTTGACAAAAGGAGAACTAATAACCGGTTAAAACGAGCTTCGCGAGGAAGGTATGTCGAATAACGAATGGGCTGGAAACAGCTATTAAATCGTGGCTTTGAGAACAAGAAGAACGAAACTGGAAATCAGAAAGACCATTTATGCCTTAAGCCAATCGTTGTCAGAGAGAAGTACAACAAAACCCGTTACAAGCGATTTCTGGCCTTCGTTAAGAAGGGGGAAGACACGGATTTACATTACTTAACTTTCCAGACATCCAAAGAGCCATCGAAAATGAAGGCAACTTCCCCAACCTCCGTCATCCGGAAAACAGCACGAAGTCATCTCACTCCATCTCTAATAAATGTAAACTTACAAGCAAAGATGTGTTGGCTTGTCTGCCAATGGTTCCCTTCGCCCCGTGTAGATGAACCATCTTCGGAAAGTAGCCGATTTGTAGCGGCTTACTCACATCCATCGGCAGGACTGCCGGAAGACCGTTAGTGAACCTCTCAGCGTTGTACCTAGGATATAAAATAAAAAAAAAGTCTTCTTACGCATGCAAAGCAGGGCCCTGACAGGCACTTCTTTTCGTTCAGGTTTTGGCCAAGCATAACCGAATACGACAACGGTCAATTAGGTGAAGGAGTGTCGATGATTTAGAGCGAGGGGGCGAGATCTTGGTCTAAAACAGGCCCCAACACAATACCGCGACTACAACGAAGATACACGCTACAAGTACAAAGGTCAGACTGCTCGCCACTCAGGTTTTGGTCCGACCTGGAAGTCTCGCCAAAATTTGGTGAGACAAAAAAGTCTTGCCACAAAATGGCGGGACTTTTGTGTGTGACCACGGTCTGTAGCCCGTAACCATCCGGCGCATTACGGCCTCAAGGCGGCGGTCAGACACAGAAGTCTGGCCATTTTGTAGCGAGATTTTTGTGTCTGGCCATTTTGTTGTGAGACTTCTTTGTCAGACCAAATTTTGGCGAGACTTTCAGGTCTGACCAAGTGTCTCGCCAAATTTTGGCGAGAAGTCTGTTCATCCAATTTGCAGTGCAGACACAACGGTACAGGTCCTGCCCCTTCATTCAGAATAGAAGGGCGGACCAAAAAGTCCTGTTTCACTTCGTTCCCACTTATTCTTGCGAAGTATTAGTTTTCAAATGGCAAAGGAAATACTTTGAGACGTTGAAAAATAAATGTTTCGCAACGTAACGGATGTTTTCCTCCGCAACTTACAAAACTATTCCATTCCAATGCGAGAAACATCGCAAGGGTTTTCGTAATTGATAGCTGGATAATACTACTGGTAAGTACTTTTCTTTGCAGGCTTTTAAGACTGCATAAAACATGTCATAATTGTTACAATGTGACTTTCGTCACGTTAGAGCAGGACTCACCGAGCAACAATCTGCCGATGCAGATGCACGAACAATTCTCCTCGGCGAGGCAGGTCCACGTACTGCGGGTCGTCGTATCCCATGGGGTACCTCGCATGCCATTTCCAGTGGAACACGTTGTAATTAGGATCTTCTCGGAAGTACCACAGCGGGGACTCCTTATCCGCCGTCACGATTCTCAACACGGGCACCGGGATCTAATCAAAGATTTCGCGAGAGACCGGTTCGTGATAGGGTAAAAGCTCACATTCAAAAGCATGCAAAGAAAAGTATTTTGCATCACGAGTCTCCGGCTTTGCATTACAAACTCCATCGCGAACTTTTTTCTTCGCATTGCAAAGAAATACTAGTTCGTAAGCTGAGAAGAAAAAGTTTGCAACGTTGCGAAGCATTGGTTTGTAACGTTTCAGAGCAATTTCTTCACAAGTTGCGTAAGTACTCCGTGATGCAAAGAAGAAAGTTTGTAAGAGAGTTTGCCCGAATACTTGGAAAGGCTTTTTAACAGATTCCTTCATAAGAAATTCGCTTCGCACAAGGTATGTTAAAGTTTTACAGGTTCCAAGGTTCCTGACGTATGACGTAAAGGCAGAATTTCGCCATCGAGTCAATCGTCTCGTACTATGTGAGTATTTGAGTTCAAACTCTTCAGTTTCAGTCAAAGTTGCCACCGACATACCAAGCATGCCCTCAGAGGAATTGAAGCAATTATTCAATTATGTTTCGGTGACGAGTTAACTTACTCTATTTTTTTCTGGAAGGAAGTACATCTCCTCGCGGACCTTCGCAAAGAACTCGTCGTCTGTGTAAAGTTCAGGAATGTACTGGGGAAGCTCTGGTATTTGAACGTCCTGGAACAGAAGTGTGATCACACAAGCTTTTGTGAAACTTTTGTTGTGGTGAAGTTTGGTAGGGGCTCTTTGGATACACTATCCTGCGGGCTAAAATTAAGGGGACAGAACTTTGAGATTTAATTTGCATATTTTAGAGTTCAACATTAATATCATTTGTGTATCAATGAATTGATCCAGGAAGCGGAAGAAGGGAATAACTTGACTTATCCCCAAATTGAGTTTTTATTTTATTATTGTGCCTTAGAATGGTTTACATCATTACACCAAATTATTTGACTGAATTCCAAGCAGTTTAGGAGAAAATCCACATGGAAAAAGGGTATAACTCAACTTAACCCCTTTTACAGTCTAAATTTCATTGGAAAATGGAGGTAACTCAACCTTAGTCTACATGAGTCCGTTTGACAAATTGGCAAAAGGATATAACTCAACTTGTGTTTCTATGGATCTAGTGTAAAAAGAATCAACTCAACTTAACCCCCCCTTAATTTTAAATTTCAATTTGGAAAAAAGAGCTAAGTCCAAAAAATACACCAGAGTAACATACACTTTATGCAGACTATTGTTCCACTTGACTTGTCTCAAAATTCCTCTTGGTTTAGGAAATATAAGGTGAGCTGACTCTGTTTTCCATTTCAGCGGAAAGTGATAAGTCGCAGAAATCCTCTACGGAGTAACCTTACACTTTTGATTTTTTTTCCAAAATTTTACTAATGCTTTTTGAAATTATTAACATCTGCAACATTCATTTGTTTTGTTTTAGTTTTCCCTGCTAACAGTTTTTTGTTTCTCCTGAAAAATGACCAAAATTGAGTTATCCCCTTCTTCCGCTTCCTGGATCAATTGCAGCCACCTTTCAGTGAATTCAACGGTATACTCAGTCACTCGCCAGTACTGACCCAGTAGCGTGTATTCACTCCTAGGCAGTGCTCAGATGCCTTAGAGTCACACACGTTACCTTTACACCCTTAAGAGAGGACCTCAACATCGTGAGAAGAAGTGTGTGCAGAATCATCTCCGGGTTGAAATGAAGTCGAGCCCACACAGCCTTTGCCACCAGCTCAGGCACCGTTTTGCTGTCTAAAAACAAAACAGCACACGCAGTTGTAACGTATTTTCGTAACTCCACACTAAAAAAGAAACGTCCACACAGAATGTTTTAGGACTCTTTTAGCCCCAAGGATGACGCAATTTTAAGGACATCCGAGAGTGATACAATTTTATGTCCACTAGGCAGAATACATTAGTACAAAATAAAGTAAGCGTTCGACAATATGTGTCACCATGCGGGAACAAACTATCAACGACGCCGGATGTGCTTGGCACGTTCACTCGGAAGTGAAATTAAGGGGGTAGTACACTACGCAAGGTCAAAAAATACTGTGTTTGCGTTAAATTTTTGCGGACGCATGACATACGGGGCGTCAAAACTGATCATGGGATCTCTTCATACTGTAAATAATGATCAAAATCACAAATTTTGATAGGTGTCTGAAGCAGCTATTGCGAGTTTGTCGAATTTCTCTAAACGACTGCAAAAAATACACAGGTGGTTGGTTTGCGCGATTTGGACCAAACGGTGGGACCTAAAGGGTCCAAATTTTGTGTGGACCATGTAAATACATGTCATTCTGATGTGAACTGAGGAAAATTTTTTGCAATAGTTATTAGTACCTCAAACGACATGACAAAATGACAAATTCAGAAAACAGCATTTTTCTATCCCATTTTCTTTCAAAAAACTTAAGTTTAAATATAGTAAAACAAAATTGATCACAATTATCCTAGTTCACACCAGAATGACGGGTCTCAAGGTTGTTTGTGCGAAATCTCGTCCAAATCGGATGAAAATTGCGGTCTGTATCACGTAAACCGTGCTATTTTTGCACTGGTTTCGAAAAATTCGTGGAAGTCGCAATTGCTGCCTCCAACTGCGCTCCATACGAGTGATTTTGGTCCAAAATGAAAGTTAAATAAGGTCCCATAGTCAGTTTTGACGTACCTTACCTCCTCTACCCGCAAATAATTTTCGAAAACACAATTTTTTAAACCTTGCGAAGTGTACTACCCCCTTAAATTGATGGAAAATCGTGGAAAGCGACGAGAACACCGTTCTCGCTCCGGAGCGAATGTGTTAAACAGCGTCAAAGCATGTCCAGGGGGCGGCAACGGCCTAGGAAGCGCGTGAAGCCATGCGCGAGTGAGGTGCAGGGGTTACTTATTTTGCTTCGATTGTGAGATCTAGGCCGTTGATTGCAAAACGCTTTCCACAGATCAAAAGAGCACAAAATTTGGGGTGCATTGGGCCTAGTAGATTGCATGATACTTCCAATTCAACCGAACACAAGGGCGGAATCATTTACATCAACATGGCGCATCCGAGTTTTTTCCTAAATTTGATGATTTCTCGTGTTTTTTGGTGTTTTCATTGCACCTTAATATCATGTAAAGGAGGAGCTTCGAGAAGAGCAATAAGCCTAATGCACCGTAAATTTCAAGCCCTTTCCATCGGTGCAAAGCGTTTTGAATAAAACAGTCTAGTTTTCTTAATCTCGAACAAGTGCGGAACCTCTGCACTGACGGCGCGAGCATCGCTTCACGCTCTTTCTAGGCCGTTGCCACCCCCTGGCATGTCCTATGACATTTAATGTGTCAGTTTTTGTTTTTTTTTTACAAAAACTGTTGCTAGAACTTACCACGAAAAAAGTGCCAGAATCGTCTGACGAGGTTGAGAAACGTTGGTGCCGAGATGGTAAACGGACTCCGGTAAGGTAGGATCCCGTTGACATCTGCGAACTCTTTCTCTGGCATTGGAAGATTGGGCACCTGGATGAGGCGTGCGCCGCTGCGCAAGGCGGCAGCACGGATCTCTTGAGCAACGTGGCGGTAGCGCTCAGGCTGCGGCGAAAGGTAGACGCACCGGTTACGCTTTTCACCCGCCAGCCGTTACTATCCGCACTCTCACTGCAGGAACGTAACCGGTTACCTTCGTCCCGAGATCCATCTGAGCTTTTTCATCGCACACACTAAATTCTTATGGACTTTTTAAATGCATAAAGACGCAGTTTTTATGCATAGTTATGCATGCTCAGAATCGTCCATATGTTATGTATAAAATTATGCATCACTGTGTACATTTTATGCATCTTCCTGCATAAAATGTACACAGTGATGCATAATATTATGCATAACATATGGACGTTTCTGAGCATGCATAACTATGCATAAAAAAGTCCACAAGAATTTAGTGTGCAAAAAATCGTAATGTGGATGCTCTTAAGGGCCTCATTCTTTGTCACTGCTCTGCAAACTCAACAGTGAGCTCAGTACACTGTATTCGGCGTGTACTCACAAGTACGCTCCTTCTGCGAGAGAGTACTCAGCTGAGTACAATCTAACGAGAGTGTGCTTAGATCACTACACTGAGAATCCAAACGCTATGAGTATAGCGTCAATTGGTGCAATGCAAAAGCATTGCACATGAAGTGCAATGCCTCCCTATTCCCATGCATTAGCATAGGGCTTTTTCGGGATGCATTGCACGTAAGGTGCAATATGGCTGAGGTATTGCACGTATGGTGCGATATCTCAGCTGCATTGCACCATACGTGCTATACTCATAGCGTTTGGAATCTCAGTGTACTTATGGGCGTTCCATGGCAGATTTACACGACCTTAATTGACCATCTCGTATTTTGCTCATATTTACATCAAATGTTGCCCTCATAGGGAGGAACATCCTTGTGAAATCTCACAGCCGTAGCCCCAGTAGTTTCCGAGATATAGCGGTTCAAAGTTTTTATTCAAGACTTTTCAAAACTTCTCTATAAAAAGTGAAAAATGGGTCCTGTTTCCCTACCGTTCCCTGTAGAGCGACGAAACTTGGGCCCTGAGGGACTTCCGACGCCACTGGAAACGGCAGTTTTAAAAGTAGGGGGAGGGCCTCAAATGTGAAAAAAATTCCCCTAGGCTTCTCCCTCCTCCTACCCCATGGGAACACCCACGTGATATCCACGTTGCATCCACGTGCAATAGGTGGATTAGGTGGATGGATTTTTTCCACCCAAAATCGACGTAGAGCGTTCGTCGATTTCGCAGCGAAATAATAACTGCAAGAATTCAACGTCGATTCCACGTCGATGTTGCAGCGAACGAGAGACGCTGTAGATCGACATCGATTCCACGTCGATTTTACAGCGATATAGACGTCGCTATAATTCGACATCGCTTCCACGTCGATTTTGAGTCGAAGAAAGAGTTGCTGCGGATCGACGTTTAATCCACGTCGATCGTTTGTGGATTGTATAATCGTTGCGTATGTTCAGCCGCAAACACTAATTGGATAGGAAACAACTGTTAAAATGCCGTGCACCGCTTCCAAGTCAAGACTGTTCCACAGCTTGAGGAGAAAATCCGCTAGAACGTTGTAGAAAGCCCGGGTCTACCAAGGTGCGCGAGCAGCGCGAGGCTCATCGCCCGCCTTCGTACCGTCCCTCAGCTGGCTTCGTGGCGCAGTTGGTAGCGTTGCGGTGCCGTAAGGCACTGGTCCTGGGTTCGAATCCCGGGGAACAAAGAACATCCCATCAACAATTCATCGGGTGCGAAGCTAACAAAAATGTAACACAGTCTAAACAACAAATGCAAAAAAAAAAAAAGTTTTGTTTTGAAGAAGGTGAACATTTTACAAGAATATTGATCGGTGAACTAATCCACGTCCCATCCACGCCGCCTCGCGCGTCACTTAAGGCTCGATGTCGACTCGACGATAAGCTTACACGTCGATTCGACGTGGGCAGTCAACATCCCCTCAACGTCGCATCCACGCTCATGTTCCCATGGGGCCTCCCCCCCCCTTTTTGGCCCGTCCCGTTTATTTTGGAGGGACGGGCATATAGTATGATGCATGCTGTGCGTCCGTCCGTTCGTTCGTTCGTTCGTCCGTTCGTTCGTTCGTCCGAGGACTTCCCGTGGTCCGATCTTGACCAAATTTGGTATGCAGCCTCCTTGGGTGACCCTAAGAACCGCCCGGTGGCAGCAAATCCGATCCGAGCCCCGGGGGCGCTGCTGCAGGTGCATCATGGTCTACATGGGGTCGAGGAGGATTTCGGCAACGGATACAGCTAGGAGGGCATGTAGGGGTATGTTTGGAATCGGGGCGACGAGAAAAAACCAATGGTGCCAGTTTCGAGCGAATCGGAGAAGTTCGGACCCGGGTTCAAATCCCAATGGGGTATATTTTGAACATTCTTTTTATTCGAGTTTTTGCATTGTTTCTTATGTTTTTGGGGGCGCTGATGACGAAAATAACATTTATTTGGACCCCAGACTCAGGTTCAAACCCGTCAGGGTTAAACAAAGGCGAAATTCACACATCTGTTAATGTACGGGACGGGCCAAAGTTGCCGATGTATATCGCTACTTTTCCTGTTATTTTACGTGATACTTACAACAGGCCAAATTTTGTTTAAAGAGCACAATTGAGCAAAACTTATTTGTAGCTCTTTAAATGTGTGCCTATTTTAATTCAAAAGTACTCCTGCGCATGAGGTATGCACTATGAATATTTGTCCAAAAAATTTAATGTGAAATTGGCAGTTGTTTTCTGTTTAAGTTTTCAATGTTTTTGACATGGTAGACTGTGAATGACATGTTGTTGCATAAAAATAAAGTCACTTTGAAAAGCTACTCAAAGTGCGAGCGAAGCGAGCTTCAATCACACTAAATTCTTATGGACTTTTTTATGCATAGTTATGCATGCACAGATACGTCCATATATTATGTATAAAATTATGCATCACTGTGTACATTTTATGCAGGAAGGTGCATAAAATGTACACAATGATGCAGAATTTTATTCATACCTTATGGACGTTTCTGCGCATGCATAACTATGCATACATTATGCGTCATTATGCATTTAAAAAGTCCATAAGAATTTAGTGTGTAGTAAGAGAGAGTGGGGCACATTGGTCCATGGGGCTATTCCGAGCACTTCGGTTCATTTCAAATTTCTTCGGGATAGAGCAACTTTGAGCAGATTTATTTTCAGAAGTCTCGGAAGACATTTCACGGTAGGCACACTGAGAAGGTCGTGTAAATCTACCATGGAACGCCCCTTACCTTACTCCCCATGGAAATAAATGTAGCTGAGTACCCGATCGTGGTTGAGTACGAGAGTGAACTTGTCAGTACCAGGGTTGTTAACGTTAATTCAACGATTAACGGCGTTACGCTAACGCCGTTAATCGTTAATTAACGTTAACGTTAACTCGTTAAAATATGTCTGGGCCATTAACGTTAACGCGTTAAGTTAATGGACTTGCTTAACGCGTAACGCCGTTAATACGTTAACGCAGGAATCAATTCACGGTCGGCCGAGGAAAATATCATAAAAAATGTCTTTGTTATAGACAGCTAAAGCTATTTAGGTTTTATATTTGTATTATTTCCTCAAAACCTTTTTATGGGTAAGAAACCTTTGGTGTTACGTTTTGGTGGCGCTGATCTCTACCCGCTCTGGTTGTGTTATTAGTCTGTTTTAAAAGTCTGTTTTTAACGTTAACGGCGTTACTGGCGTTAATTTAACGTTAACGCGTTAAATTCTTAATTTCGAGTTAACGTTAACGCGTTAAGTTAATGCGCTCGTATTAACGCGTTAACGTTAACGCGTTAAATTTGAAATTAACGTTAACAACCCTGGTCAGTACGCGTCAAAGAGAGTGTATTCGTGAGTACGCGTTAAAGAGACTGTACTCGTGAGTATACAGAGAAGGACCCCACTGTGGGAAAACATCACAGTAAATCCTGTAGTGATTAGTACAGCTGTCACTGTAGTTCAGAGTACAGGATTTACTGTACCTTTTTTACAGGATCCACTGTACTTTGTACAGGATTTACTGTAGCACAGGAGTGGAGTACGGAATATCCTGTACATTACAGTAAATACTGTAGCCAGGCACAGTAAATCCTGTGTTCTGAACTACAGAAAATCCCAGCAAAAAAATAAACGGGATTCACTGTGGTTTCTTCGCACAGTGCCGAAAAGGTTTACTTTTTAGGAAGGTTTAGGAATCTACCGTGGAAGTTAGGCCAACGCTCTATGGTGATACCGACCTTCCCAGGCGCGTATACAGAGAGAGAGAGGGGGGGTGTCAGTCGCACTTTTTGCCTACTTACAGGGGCAAAGACACTTTTTGGCCCGTCCCGTTTATTTTTTGTAAAAAAAAAAATGACGGAGGGACGGGCATATAGTATGATGCATGCTGTGCGTCCGTTCGTTCGTCCGTTCGTTCGTTCGTTCGTTCGTCCGAGGACTTCCCGTGGTCCGATCTTGACCAAATTTGGTATGCAGCCTCCTTGGGTGACCCTAAGAACCGCCCGGTGGCAGCAAATTCGATCCGAGTCCCGGGGGCGCTGCTGCAGGTGCATCACGGTCTACATGGGGTCGAGGAGGATTTCGGCAACGGATACAGCTAGCAGGGCATTTAGGGGTATTTTTGGAATCGGGGCGACGAGACAAAACCAACGGTGCCAGTTTCAAGCGAATCGGAGAAGTTTGGACCCGGGTTCAAATCCCAGTGGGGTATATTTTGAACATTCTTTTTATTCGAGTTTTTGCATTGTTTCCTATGTTTTTGAGGGTGCTGATGACGAAAATAACATCTATTTTGACCCCAGACTCAAGTTCACACCCGTCAGGGTTAAACAAAGGCGAAATTCACACATTTGTTAATGCACGGGACGGGCCAAAGTTGCCGATGTATATCGCTACTTTTCCTGTTATTGCCTATCTTTCAGGCGGCTATCAAGGGGCTATGGGGGAGGGGCACTGGGGTTTTTGCCCCCCCCCCTCTCTAGCCCCTTGAAAGCTGCCAGTCGCCTGAAAGATAGGAAAAACGTGCTACTTTGCCCCTGCAAGTAGGCAAAAAGTGCGACTTTGACTCCCCCTCTCCTAGGCTCCTCCCGAGGTGATCTGTGTACACTACTGCTAAAGAGTGGTCGAGTACACTGTTGAGTTTGCAGAGTAAGTGAGGTGTGCTGGTCGCGAGCCACCAGCCACTGATTTACCAGGTAGGGGCGAGGCACGTCGAACGCCACATTGCGGTGCACGCCCCGCAGGGAGAAGACGGGCTCTGCGGGTCGGTGGAACAGATAGACGAGGTCGGAGGCCTCGGCCACCGTCGGCCTCGCAGCATGCCGGTGGGCTGCAACGCTGTAACGCAGAAGCTCCAAACATCAGGATTACATGCAATGGATTAAATACACGGTCATTTCTAGTGTGCAATCAAATTTCTACGTTCACAGTGGTGAAATAAGACTTAGTGTCAGTTAGCATGCCTGGCCCTTTCCCAGCTGGCCAGAAATTGCCATTGCAGGCGCCTAAAGTTACCGGCAAGCTAATTGAGAAATCTAATCAAGAATTGCCAATAGTTGGCTTCTTTTTTGTCAAGCAAACTTGCCACCGGCGATTCCGCTGGTAAGGCGGAGTGGGGTACTTCTGGAATCGGGGCATTTCCGAACACTTTGATTACACTGTAAATTCAACGGCAATACTTTTAGTACCTTTTTTGGCGATACAATTGAGTATCGCCCATAAACGGCCTTACGGAAAAGTATTGCCTTCAAAACGGCGATACACAAAAGTATTGCCAAAATTTGGCGATACTTTGGAGTATTGCCACGATTTGGCAATAAACGTAGAACAAATCAAGGGGACAAGACCTTTGTTTAATGCCGTGGTTTTGGCAATACCCAAAAGTATCGCCAAATTTTGGCGATACTTCTCTGTATCGCCGTTCTGAAGGCAATACTTTTCCCTAAGGCCGTTTATTGGCGATACTCAATTGTATCGCCAAATAATAACAGGAAAAGTAGCGATATACATCGGCAACTTTGGCCCGTCCCGTGCATTAAGAAATGTGTGAATTTCGCCTTTGTTTAACCCTGACGGGTTTGAACTTGAGTCTGGGGTCAAAATAGATGTTATTTACGTCATCAGCACCCTCACAAACGTAAGAAACAATGCAAAAACTCGAATAAAAAGAATGTTCAAAATATACCCCACTGCACGCAAAAAAATAAAAGTCAGTCCAGAGCTAACTTTCTTAGTTGGCGTTTTTTAGCACCACAGCTAAAAAAATTGCAACTCTGCTAGCGACCTCTGCTGAGTAGCGCTGCTCTTTTAGCTGAGGGTCTGCCGGAGATCGGCTTTCCCGGAACCTATATTTCTGGAGGATTCAGCTACTTCAGTTTGCTGCAGTGCTAATCAATCGCTGCAAAAATGGGATTTACAATGCAGCAAAAATGTTTAGGAGATAGGGCAAGGCTAGGTTCGTTCCGTGGCGCTTCGCTCGCGCTGATGGCTAGCAGTGAGAGATGGGTTAGTCGGGGAACGGATGCTCCCCACTTTCTCACCGTGACATCACCCATGGTCAGCAATTTTTAAAGTCTCTTGAGACACGACTGTCCCGGAGGAGCCTTACGCCTCAGGACGACTGGTCCGTCTTAGACAGAAAATCCCGCACCTTCAAATTAATATCATAATCATGAAGAATTCTACAATGCTAATGCAGCTAGAGTTGCCACTAATCTCCATTTTCTCCATAGCTAAATTTACCCAGCTAATAATTTTTAGCTGTGCAGCTAAAAATTTTGCTGGGCCTACAGAGCTAGATAAATTAGCACCGGTGCTAACTTTTTAGCTCTGAATCGATTTATTTTTTTGCGTGTGGGATTTGAACCCGTGTCCAAACTTCTCCGATTCGCTTGAAACTGGCACCATTGGTTTTGTCTCGTCGCCCCGATTCCAAAAATACCCTTACATGCTCTGCTAGCTGTATCCGTTGCCGAAATCCTCCTCGACCCCATGTAGACCATGATGCACCTGCAGCAGCGCCCCCGGGGCTCGGATCGGATTTGCTGCCACCGGGCGGTTCTTAGGGTCACCCAAGGAGGCTGCATACCAAATTTGGTCAAGATTTTTTTTACAAAAAATAAACGGGACGGGCCAAAAATGTACTTTAGTATCGCCTTTGCATTTGCAGTGAATTTTTACTGGGTTTCAGTGAAGATACAGCTCAAAAGCCCGCCTGAGGAAGATAATCAGTTAAAAATGATAATTCCAAATCGGCAACGTAGAAGGTCAAGCCGTTTGGCTGTGGTCGCTTCACGAAATTAGAGTACCATAAAAATAGGCAAAAGCTACATCTCTACCTCGTATTTCCGTCTCTTTATCGTACCTTAAGGGGGCTCTTACATGTTAAGGGTGTAAAATCTGAGATCAACATGGCGACATTTTTGACTTTAAGTGATCGGAAACGTGAAATTTGTTGTGCACCGACTCCAATGAGTCTCCTCTTCACAACCGTGCAAGCGGAATTGCAATCGGACAAACCCACCCATTTCCACAGTCACCCCCACCCCCTCCGGGGAGTGATTTTCGAAAATGTCTGAAACCGACTGCAAACGATCCAGTGACCTCCCCTGCACACGCTGCAAGTTTTCTTTTTCGAATCCGACCACCCTCGGCTGCACCAACCCCCGGGAGGACCTACCTCTTTTGTACCCTGTGCCGTTTCAGTAGCAAAGGGGTTGAATTTGGGCGTTGAAATTCATGGGGAGACACACTGGGTGCTAACGAAGCCATTCCAATCAAAAACTCCTGTTCCTGAAATGTTCATCCACTATTGTAGGGGTGGCCACCCCCTAGGAACCCCCGCCCGCCCGGTACTCTACAAACTGAAGTGTGTACTCAGTATGCATCTGTACAGATGCATACTTGCAAGTAAACACCTGCAGATTCATACTTAGCTGAGTACACATCTACAGATGCATACTTAGCTGAGTACACATCTACAGATGCATACTCAGCTGAGTACACATCTACAGATGCATACTCAGCTGAGTACACATCTGCAGATGCATACTTGGAGAGGTTAAGTATGCATCTGTAGGTGTGTACTCAGCCAAGTATGCATCTGTAGATGTGTACTCAGCTGAGTATGCATCTGTAGATGTGTACTCAGCTAAGTACGCATCTGTAGGTGTGTACTTGCAAGTATGCATCTGTAAGGGAGGGTGGGGCACCTAGTGAGGGGCACCTAGTGACACAGGGGTGCCCTGGCCACCCTATGGCACTTTCAGACACCTTGAGGTGGCTTATCTAAAGGTCTTGTGCTGTGGAATCATGTTCAAGTGAAAGTGAGACTTTGAACAAAATATATTAGCCCCTAGAATAAAAGCAATAAAATAGTTACCCAAAATCACAGATTTTACGACTTTTTTACAAAATGTTTTCTCGCCATTCTTCCAGTACACGGCACTGCCGATCGTTCTGGCACTTTTAATCAATAATAAAGACCTTTAGTAAGTTGTTTTCGCTGAACCAGCTCAAACATGTGATTTCATTTCTTTAATATCAAATTTTGAACGGAAATGAGCCCCCTAGTGTTTCTAATTTTCCGGAAAGATTCAACTTTTCCGAAAATTTCCTGAAAAATAGGAAAAATACGGAAAAATTCCAGAAAAATTGAAAAATTTGGAAAAATAGTAAGTTTTGCTGCAAAAATGTCAGAAAACGTGGTAAAACGGTGGGGAAACTTGTGTGAGGTGCAGAAAAAGGAAAACAATTAACCATTTTTTATATTTGCAGAAGTATTATGGATTAAATGGATTCAAATCAACAAAATCAGAGTACGATGGAGCAGTACAGGACAAAAGTACAGACACTACCTTACCTGTCTCCACTGTAAATCCAATGGCGATACTTTTGGTACCTGTTTTGGCGATACAATTAAGTATTGCCAGTAAACGGCCTTACGAAAAAGTATTGCCTTCAAAACGGCAATACACAAATGTATCGCCAAAATTTGGCGATACTTTGGAGTATTGCCATTTGGCAATAAACGTTTAACAAATCAAGGGGACAAGTTCTTAGTTTAATGCCGTGGTTTTGGCAATACCAAAAAGTATCGCCAAATTTTGGCGATACTTCTATGTATCGCCGTTCTGAAGGCAATACTTTTCCGTAAGGCCGTTTATTGACAAAACTTAATTATCCACCCCTATCCCTATCCACATTGTGACATTTGCAGTCAAAATCAAATCTAGCGACGGCGACGAGATCGGCGGGGGCGAGTGAATCAATACTTAAAAGGTGGGCAGCGTAGCAACTCCTTTTAGCTTACCTGACACTTGTGATGGACTATTGAGACAACACCTGACATTCGCCAGACAAGGCAACTGCTAATACCGATGCACTCCCGTTTGTGTCCATCCCCCTCACTGCCTTCTAGAAGCTTCAGCAGACGACCACAACCACGAAAGCCACGAAAAACAATGTTACCAAGTCACTGCGACTGACTTTTGTGTTCAAAAATGACAGGAATTCAGCGATTTTGTCATGTGACTTCAATAACATGCAAAATGCGCATTTTTTGAATGTTTCCATCTTTTCCGGGGCTCTTGGAAAAATACGGAAATTTTCAGAAATTTTCTGCATTTTTCCCCGGAAATTTTCCGGCATTAGAATCACTAGAGCCCCCGGGGCAGGTAGTGACAGACACACTCTATTTCCCATATTTCAACGATTTAAACGTTTCAAAACATCGATGTGGCAAACCACGAAGTAAATGGTCACCGATTGTCACACAACGAAACATAAATGAGACTAATTTGTACGACAATTTCGTAGATCATTCAATTTGATTGGCAATGTAGTAAAATGCAGTTTCTTGCGAAAAAATGGCGCCGTTCAGAATGGTTTGATATTTAAAAAGCTTAAAGAGTCTAAAACAGATAATTTTCAATTAGCTGGAGCGTCGCTCTATGCTGGTAATGTGAGTGATATGACCTGTCACTAGGTGCCCCGGGCTGGGGCACCAAGTGACAAGTGCAGAGGTCTGCGGGAAGCTATGTAAATAATAGAAATAGGTGTTGCCAAAACGCCACAACGCGTTTTTGCGATCAAGGAAGGATCGAAGCAACCTTCTGAGGTGTAAGCAGATTCATTTCTCGCACAGTATCGGAATGAGTGCCAAAATCCAAAAAGTGTCACTAGGTGCCCCACCCTCCCTTAGATGCATACTGAGTACACACTTCAGTTTGTAGAGTAGGGGTAGGAGCGCCGTTCAAGATGGAGTCGGTGCACAGCAAATTTCACGTTTCCGATCACTTGAAGTCAAAAATGTCGCCATGTTGATCGCGGATTTTACACCCTTAACCACGGAGGGGTTTGCACAGGGAGGAAGAGGTGACGCACGGACCGCATACTTCGCAAGGCTCAAGAAGAACAGTTGGGGCACCCACCGACCAAATTTCAGCGTCCTAGCTCGATAAAAAAAGAAACTGCCCCGTTTCCAAAAACAGGAGCCGCTAATTTTGAGCGGCAGTGTATTGTAGTGGCTTCAAACTTGTGGGCATGCATCCTGCATCCCCACCGTCAAGAAGGTTAAAAAACGAACAAAAAAGCATTGCAGCGATGTTAAAAGGTCTTTACTCAAAGAAGTGGAGTTAATGAAGGGGTTTAAATAGAAATTATTCCTCATAATAAAGCTTTGAGTGATAATCAAACAGTTTAGTTCTCAGCAAATGTTCTTGTACGCCCTCTAAATTATGCCTCCTATTAGAACAAACGAAAGTAAGCTCGAGTAGTGTCAAATTTTAAGGTCGTCCGGAATTGCCCAAGCCCGGGTTTCCGGACACGTGCAAGGCTTTAAGGCCCATATATCCCCCTAACCGTTGATGAGATTTCGCTTTCACGTATATCATTTTGAAGGTTAAGGTTCATACTCTACTCTCCTGTAATGAAATGAGATTCAAGAAGCATATTCAAGCTCAAAGAGCAAAAGGAAAAAAAACGTCCGGACTTAACCTTCTCTCCCGTACTTACTTTATGCAGCATATCACCGCCACAACTGCCAGCCGGACCACCGACCAGCCGTGGTTGCCCGTTCCACGAGCCATGGTAAGTCAATGTGACTGCTTTTGCTTGGACTAGCGGTGTTTCCCTTAAGTGCAGACGACCGACTCGTTTTCTGACGTCAATTCAAGACTCATTCGCAATAACTCGCGTGAACTCAGACATTTTGTCTCGATTTCGTGCCGTTTCAGTGACACGAACCAAAGCCGCGCTGAAAGTTGTTGAGTCATCGTGAAGCCGATGTCAAACGTGACTTGCCTGAAGTTTTCCAAGAAAACACATTGCAAGTACAAGAAACTGCGTCACCACCCGAGCGGAAAAATAAGCAGCACATAAAGTTGGTTTGCTTGTATGCCGCTGTCTATTTCCAAACACTGCACTGAAAATGAAGTCAAGGAGGCAAATATGTCAGTTCAAGCTGGAAATCCAATGTAACTCAGATACAGGGGTAGGTTGGGGAAGAAAAGTACAAAACGCGCACATTGCACTGTACAGAAGTTCCAAATGAGGATTCAACTTTCTGCTCGCTCGTGAACTTGTAATCCAATGCCTTCCTAATGAAATGGATCACTGTTCGTTGATTATAGTCCCAGTCAACATTTCGTACTGCGCGGTACCTCCATTGGAGGTGCACTCACAGATATCGTATCATCCCCTTTAGTAGCACTGGTGAGGTACTGTTTGCCCAAAAAGGGTAGTCTGCTAGCTGTCCTCGGCATCATCCATCTGTGGTACGGGCCTAGTACAACCCCGTACTACCATTCCGTACCTCGGCCGGACCACCACTGGACTAGCGGTCGGCCCATGCGAATTCTACAATATTTAGACGCTAGGGTGATGATCTTCACTTGTAAAAGATTTCAAAGGACCCGAAGAAGCAGATACCTCGATTCAAAAATTGGTTGGAGGATACGTCTGACTATGGCAGAAGTCACTCCGACTCACTGGGACAAGTCTGCTGTACCTAATGAAACTGCGACCCGTAGCATGCAGCGAGAGGAACCATTCAATTGTCGATTGCTCCTCTAGTAGTTTCGATACCGCCGTAATTTTTACAGCGGTACATCACACTCATCTTAGCACTTCAGTTTCCATCTATTCAGAACTTTCAGTACGCTACCTTTTGGCCAGAAGAACCTTTTAATCGTAACAGGTGACTAAAGCGACACTAGCGCCATCTAGAGGACAATACTGAGAGTGCAATCCGCCATCTAGTCCTGACTGACCGTCGTCCCTGGTACTGTCGTGGCACAACGGTAGTCCCGATTCGTACCTTGCAATGCACGCCTACTGCCACCTTTCTAGAGGTAATAAGCAACCAGAAATCACTGTGCGTGTAATTAGTACCGGTGTGTCACGCAAGCACATTCCATTTTCAAACTAAAAATTTTCTCAGAAAAGTAAAAATTTCCTCAAAAAATTACAAATTGCCAGAAAATTTAAAATTTTCTCAAGAAATTGAAAATTTCCCCAGGAAATAAAATGAAATTCACTGCCGATTTTATATATATTTTACAATGGAATTCGCCAACGTCACGCCCAGCGGCAGTAATTTGTCGCATTTCTGGTTGCATTTAACCTGTACAAACGCGGCAAGTACACGGATATATGCATGGTCCGGATTCGGACTACCTCTGTACTATGGAGGGACTAGTGAGTGCGACCAGTAGGACCAAGATGGCGGAGTAGCGTTTCCCGCACTTTTCACGTACCAGACCGTAGTACGCCACTACTCCAGCTGACATCAGATATGGACATACAAAACGGACTTCGCATGGAGGTCAGAGGGAGGTACAGTCAGGGACCTGGTACTAGCAATGTCGACTGGGGTTCCCCACATTACGTACAACATGCCAAAATGTATGTGATTTCGGAACTCCTCGAAAAGGGTAAGAAAAGTACACCATCGGGAAAGAAAAGTACAACGAAAAGAATTGCGAGTTCGAACCAGCAGCACTGTTAAGAGAAGTCGTTATTTTACAACAGTAATCCCAACAATTAGTGTTGTAATTTTACAAATAATAATTCGTAAATTAACAACAAGATTCATGACATGAACAATTGTCATATTTTCGACAAACTTTACTCATAAATTTAGGAATAAATTCTTAATTTTACGATGAAATCTTATTGTTACTGACGAAAGATCGTAGTTTTACTGATAAAATCGTTATCTTACGACTATTCTCGTTTTATAACGCGTAAACTTCTCTGCAAACTGAAGTGTGTACATAGTACACTCTTATTAGAGCATACTTCCAAGTACACTCTTATTTACAGCATACTTGCTAGGCACACGCTAAAAAAGAGTGTGCCTGGCAAGTACACGCCAAATAAGTGTGTACCTTCCATGTACACGCTAAAATACACTCGATAAGTCCTATCTAAAAGCATGGGCCAGTTTAAGTGTACTTGCCAGGTACACTCTTATTTAGCGTGTACATGCAATGTACACTCTATTTTAGTGTGTACCTAGCAGGTATGCTGTAAATAAGTGTGTACTTGGAAGTATGCTCTAATAAGAGTGTACTATGTACACACTTCAGTTTGCAGAGTTGTTTTCTTACAAATGAAGCTTTATTTTTAAGAATAGTTGCCTGTTAAATTTGTACCACGAACTGCACTGTTTTTTACAAAGAAAATTGTAAATTGACAATCTGTTCATCATTTTACAAACTGCTTCTAAAATTTACAGGTGAAATCGTTAATTTACAAGTATGATTGTAAAAGCGAATCTGAAAAAATGCGTTTTCGTCCGTTGTTTCCTTACTATATAGGAAGAAAAAAATGCCTGAAACGACCAAAATTTGAGGATAAAGTTTGTAAGTTTAAGAATATTTTTGTAAATTGACGAAAAAAAGGTGGATGATCAGATCGTTTTTTAAATTGACGAGCAGTTCGTGCTACAAATTTAACAGACAATTAATCGTAATTTCACAAAATAATCCCGAACAGTGAGGAGACCACCAATCTTGGCTCAATTCAGGTTTACCCCCAAAGTGGAGAGCTTTCACTTGCCATTAGTTCAAGTTTCGTCAAAATCGGTCAATTGGTTCTGATTCTACATGGACTCATCACAGAAGGTCCAAGAAGCCTTTTCTTAGAGATAAGTGGGTACAGCATTTTTGTACTTTTCTTCCCCTTTTCACGTAAATGCCTAATAACTTGTTTATTTCGGGTCTATTTTTATAACTTGTGTTGACATTTTTTGCTTGTCTCGTCTAATCAAATGTATTTCCGTGATTAATTCAATTTTCATCCCGCTTTTAGTTTCTTAGAGGGTGTTCTTTTCTTCCCCAATACCTGTACTTTTCTTCCCCAGCCAACTGTACTTTTCTTCCCCATCTCATTTTTACACTTATAAAAAATTGTATTGAAGCCTAAGAGCATCGAACGGCACTGTTTTTCAAAGATGATGGTCTAAGCTATAAGGTGGTACCTTACATTGGACTGTCGGCTGATTCTGCAGGAAGCTGTACTTCAAAGTACAAACATTTAAAAAAAAGATTTTCATAGTTATTTTTAATGTGTTTTTCAAACGTGCAGTTTGATTCTAAATATTATATGTAGAACTGGGATAAATTTTTTTTTTGTGAGCGGGATGACCAATCTTTCTAAAACCACTAACGTGATGGTTCAGTGTAGTTTCAGTTCGGAGTTATAACGGGTGTACTTTTCTTACCCGACCTTCGAGTGTACTTTTCTTACCCAACTTACCCCTAAGGGAAGGTGGGGTACCATGTGACGGTTTTTGTTAAATGCCCGTCAACCCAATAATACCAATCACATTACATCCATAAGTAGACATGTGAACAAAATGATTCTTCACCTTATAATTTCTGTTGAGATTTCTAATTTATCTGTTTTGGTTGCTGAGTTATCCCGAGTTGAATGGGCCAAGTCAAAGTGTTACTTCGTACCCCACGTAGTACACTATGTGACAGCCTTAGTGTACCATGTGACAGTGGCCTTTTGTCTTGGTTTAAATCCTATTCAGCGTGCCAATACGCAAAGAATAAACGAAGAAGTCTTCCAGCTTTTTATTTCCGTTGAGTTCATCAATTTATCATCTTTGGTTCCCGAGCAATAAAGGTTTTAGTTACTAGTGTACAAATGTCACAGACTGAACACATTCAACTGAGTGAATCGTGGAATCCCATAGCGAATGACAGTGGTGTCACATGGTGCCCAGATCAACAGTTTTAGGGGAAACAGCAATAACGCTCAAAGTTTATGCCGTAGAGAATCGAGCCAAAGCTTATTTTGCGCTTAAAACATCAAAGAAGAACATCTTGCAGAGCATATGTCCTTAAAATGTATTTTAAAGGTAAAAAGCGGACGCGGCGGGAAATTGAAAAAGTTTCCAATGAGCTATTTTAAGACGGTTTCCAATTCTGATCGCTACCATTCCCGTCCTTTTCGAAGGAGAGTCACGACCTATTGCACGTCGATTCTCCTTCATGATACCTTCCTTTGAGTCTTCTTACCGCTGTTGGATAGCAAGCCGTTTGGGAGAAAAAGCCAAAGTCACATGGTGGCCGTGTCACATGGTACCCCACCTTCCCTAACCATAACCATCTTGAACCATTTCTAGGATAATTTTTGAACCAACAGAACCTCAAACATCATCATAAGATTCAAAAATAGTAGTCAACCCATACTTAATTTCGATATAGAGAAGATTATTTAAAAAGTGATCCATGTTTGGTAACCTTACCCTACGGGACGGGCCAAAGTTGCCGATGTATATCGCTACTTTTCCTGTTATTTGAATTAAAGTTATGAATGTAGTAACAATAAATTATTGTTGCAGGTATCCCTAGCAATTTGCATTGTTTCAATATACTGAAAAACAACTGTATTTTTTCATTTATTTATTTAGCTGAAATCAAACGTGCACTCTTAAAACCTTACGAAGTATTATGAGCATACATATAACAAACTAAAATGCTTTGTTTTACGAAGAAATAGTTCGTAAATTACGAAGTATTTACTTTGTTAGCTTATGTATGCTCAAAATGCTTTGTTATACAAACTACTTTTCTTTGTAAGGCCCAAAATAGTTTGTACGGTTTTCTCAGTGTGAACCTTTCCTGTTATTTCTGATGATTTATTTACGAAATGCTCGTTCTGCTATCTGACTACAGCAGGAGAATTATTTTGTAGCCATGTATATCCTTCTTTAACATTGTGTTATATGACATGAAAATCGTAGTAACAATTGGTTTAGTTTGACACACTGTTCGAAATATTCTGAAAATCCAGACGACTTCACAACAAACCGAACTGTCTACTAAGTACACACTTACAAACGCATGCTTGGCCAAGTACACACTTACAAATGCATGCTTGCAAGTACACCGTTACAAATGCATGCTTGACGCCGTATAACTCCATGCGTCAAGCATGCGTTTGTAAGTGTGTACTTGGCCAAGCATGCGTTTGTGTGTACTTGGCCAAGCATGCGTTTGTAAGTGTGTACTTAGGAGACAGTTAGGTTTGTAGTGTGTGTACTTGCAAGCATGCATTTGTAAGTGTGTACTTGCAAGCACGCATTTGTAAGTGTGTACTTAGTAGACAGTTAGGTTTGCAGTGTTTTTGAATAAAATTGTTTATTAAACCATTCAAAATCAAATAATGAAAGCTGTATGCTAATAGTGGCACGCAATGTCGTCGCTCCATCAATCTCCAAGTTGGACGTCACGATGTCACAATAGCGCCGTGACAGGTAGGCAGCGACGCTGCGTGTTCAGCGCGGTTTAAAAAGGAAGGACCCCGTGACGGAGAACAAAGGGGCCAGCCCGGTGTGCAAGGCGTGCATTGAATGGTCAGGGCGGCGACCTGCATCGTTATTGACGTTTGATCATTTTGTCAGTAACATTACACTCTAAATGTCTTACGAAGGTGTTTTTTCTTCGTATTACGAAGGTTTTTCTTTGTATCTTACAATGAAAAATCTAAAAAGATTCGTATTACGAAGGAATATTGCTTCGTATTATGCTTGCGCCGAATCCTCTACAACATACGAATAACATAGGTCCAAATTTCATTGTAAGACATTTAGAGTTTAGATCCATGAAGACAAAAGTTGAGTTATCTCCTTTTGCCATTTTGTGCAATGGAGTTATGTGGACTTCGGTTGAGTTACCTCCATTTTCGATAAAATTTAGACCGTAAAAGGGGTCAAGTTGAGTTATATCAATTTTTAAAGTGGATTTTCTCCTTAATTGTTAGGAATTGGGTCAAACAATTTGGTGTAATATGCAAACCATCCTGAGGCACAATAATAAGATAAAAACTCTATTTGGAGATAAGTCGACTAATTCCCTTCTTCCGCTTCCTGGATCAATTAATAAGGAAAAAGTCAGTTATGTGTTGAGAGTGTATCTTTCCGCTCGGGCACGAGTCATTCTTGTTTTTCGGCGCGAACGTGCTGTCGTGACACCTCTAGGTCCCGACAACGAGAGTAACTTGGGACACCCGGGTGACTTGGGACAGTCTGCCCTGTACAGCTTGTTGGTTCTGCCATTCAGCGGTGGGGGTTCCTAGCATCAAACCCGCGGCAGGGTTTTGTTTAAGAGGCCTCAGGGCACGCGCGGAAAGGTAAAAAGGTGCATAACATCACAATTAGTATTTGAGAAACGGGAAAATAAATAATAGGGTTTTTGACAAAATGTGTCAAACATTGACAAGTTGACCAAGGAGTGAAATGCAGATTTGGCCGATTAGTCTCTCTGGGTTGTTAGATCATGCTCAGACAATAACGTTCGCAAAAGGGCGCTGGTTATAGTTTTCCCATCTTCGGTCCAGACTTCATTTTATCAAAAATCGAAATTTTACGAGGTAACTTGGGACAGTCTTTTCCAGCAGTCCTAGCCTCCAAGGAGTTGACTGACCCGGTCCCTGACATAACATGAACTTCGGATTTTACGCTGATGATGGACAGAGATGCCTTGCTCTGCAGTTTTGTCTTCTGGTAATCCCTATTTTGAAATTTTCAGAAAATGCCTGGAAAATACCAGTAGAAAAGAGAGTTCTACGTAGGGCCCTAGATATAGTCCAATATCGGTCCTACAAGAGTTCCTAGGCCTGAATTCTTGGTCTACGTGATGTGACTTAAATTTATTACATCCAGCTAATTACCTACTGTCCCAAGTTACCCCCGGTCATGGGGTAACTTGGGACACTCTTTCGAGACCGCTTGGAAACGATATAACCGAGGCAAATGAGCCAGACTAGCATGAAATCATGGGGAAAGGGTCAAACTTTAACATAGTTAGGATCCAATGGTCTGGGTTGAGAATCTTGCCTCTGGCATTCAAAAAACGTGAAAAAGTGTCCCAGGTTATCCCCGTTGACGGTCGTCCTCAAATTGACACCAAGTCAATGCAGCAACTGCGAAACGAAATGTATAATTGATCCATGAAGCAGAAGAAGAGGATAACTCAATTTTCGTGAGTTTTCAGCACTGAATAGAAATAATGTTCGGGAGAAACGTCGGATCCTTCGTCATAAAGATTGCCATTAGTAAATTATTTTTAGCAGATGTTACCTTTAGTACTTTAAAACGTACCTAGAACAATATAAAACACTTAAAGGTGTCAGCTAGCTTTTACTCGAGAGTCCAGAAACCAAGGCTGTATCCTAACAATAATGGGGGCTGGCTGCCGGGGCGGGCTGGTGAGTGAATGGGTGTTTTCTTCCATTTCGTCGATCAATTGCACTGTGAACTTCCTCACTAAACCCCGACATCATTTATACATCCTTTCGTTAAGCCTTCTCCTTCTCACCCTGCAACCTACAAGGTGACGCGGTGAGGTCGGTCCAGAAACAGCTCTTTTTGTTGCACCTTAAACACGACCTTCAACGGCCACAAAGGTAATCAAAACCGAGTACTATCCGAAAACACCAACGTGCAGCTCTGCTGAGACAAGGACTCTTGGTCTTTGGATTTCTTATCCATTTTTAAATCCTAATCGTGGATAGTGCTTGAAAATACAGATAATGCGCTCTTAATGTTTTACAAAGAAATTTTCAAAAATTCAAATACAATAGGGTATTTCGGAGAAGCCCTGGCCCGGAAGAAGAAGAACAAAAACGGAAGTTGGAAATGGCAGTTTTTATGAGAAATATACGCTGCGGATGCTCATTTGGGGCGTATATTTCTCATAGAAACTGCCATTTCTAACTTCCGTTTTTGTCCTTCTTCTTCCGGGCCAGGGCTGCTCCGAAATACCCTATTGCGCGAGCAAAATGCGAAGGAGTTTCGTTTTCGTTTTACGAAGGTTGTTCTTTGCATCGACAATGAAAAATGTTGATTAGTTTTGTATAATGAAGGAATATTGCTTTGAATGATGCTTTCGCCGAATTCACTGTAACATAGCTCAAGTTTCGTTGCAAGACATTTTGTGCGATATTGCAGTGTGGAGGGATTGCGTCGTGGCCCAAGGTCACTGCACGGGGGCCAAGTTCGTGATTGTTATCATCCGTTCAGTATTTGTATCGCCCGTTCTGACACACCATGCATGGCATGTCTGCCCGGCTCATGCAACAACTATGTTCCAGTTTCATTGTATTTGCTTCGCCAGCAAGCAAATATTTCTCGTACCTTCTGAACTGTGAGTGGTTTTCCAAGGTTAAAAGTTTGAAGCACTATAGTTTCAGTGCGGAAAGCACCCCGCCGGACGAGTTGCGCGATCGGAGAAGCAAAGATGCTTCACACCTTTCTTCATCCGGGTCTCTTACACATTCTTTTCGTGTTGACGACCGTTTGTGTCGCGAAGAACATTCCGGTGTTTGCTGTAAGAAACTACCCACTAAATGTTTTTGTACGAATTTTGTACGAGACATCGCAGTCTTTTGTGCACACTAACTTTTCATACTAATTTGTACGAAATTTTTCACTAATAAGGGGAAATTTGTGCAGTTTTTCGTACAAAAATTGTACCGAAAGTTCGTGTGCAACAAAAACTGTGATGTCTCGTACAAAATTGTACCTAACATTTAGTGTGTAGGAACATAGACCGGGCAGTTCGCTTTTTCATTGCTTCTTGATCTTCAGCTCGCAGGTTTAGTCGGAAGTACCAGTGTCAACACATATCTTTCCCTTGAGCTCTTCCTCGATACCATGCCCTAGCGCACTCTTCAGCTGGTGTATTTTATTTTATGCAAGGATAACTCACTTACCTCATAAGGGGCCTGAAAGTAATCTTATGTGAAAGTTATGACTTCACTGTTATCCAAGTTGCGATACTTTCAACACAAAAACGTGCGATGATATCGAAAATGTGATTCCCACGAATCATTGCTCCTGAGATGCAATGACTTCTGTATCACACAAAATTCTGCAATGATCATCGCAACTTTCTGCAATGAAAATCGGAATTGCAAAAGACTGCGATGATGACAACACAAAATCTGTAATCATTACAGTTTTCTGCAATGGTCATTGCAAAATGCTGCAATTTTGTAGCTGATCACACCTTTTGGCAATGATCATAACAGAAAAGTGCGATGACATTTGAAGCGATCGGGGCTCCTAGCGTCAAACCACGGCCGGGCTTTGTTTCCGAAGCCGCAGGTCACGTGCGGTAAGGTGGAGGAGGTGTAAAACATCAAAATTAACATTTGAGAAACGGAAATTAACTCTACAAACTCATGGCTAGAGTTTGATAGATTGTGGTCTAGCCTTTCAAGTGAAGTTCAGTTAACTCATGTGTGGTCTAGCCCGTAGTGGTACTGGTAATGGAAGGTGGTCGCCATGTTGGGCTCGAGTCGACCCAACACGGGTCACGTCGCTCCGTGTTTGTCCTTGATTTTCGGTGGTACAAAGTCGGTTTTCCGGGTCGAACGTGGTACCAGTCGGTCCGTGTGGACGCCGTGCGTCGAGGCTCGAAGTGTCGCGGTGTCCGAGTTCTGTGCAAATTAGTTTTTGGCGCCTTGTTTACAAGGCAGCGTCCGTCCAGCCAGGCCACTACAGCGGCGACCGTGTCCACCGACCTGCCGGTCGCAGGGCTGACGTACCGCGAAAAACCAGCAGCCAGTGCCCCAACCGGTGTCCGCGCAGTGCCCAGTGTTCAGTGTTCAGTGCAGTGTTCAGTGCAGTGTTCAGTGCGGTGTTCAGTGCAACACCCAGTCCGTTGCGTCCGTTGTGCAAGCGGCCCAGCCATGGATCCACCAGTGCAGCGGTTGTGTGTCCCCTGCGTCGCCCCCCTACCTGCCATGCTGACCCGATGTGCCGTTCACCCGTGTTCAACAAGGCGATCAGAGAAGCATTCACTGCGCGGGAAATTTCTCGGCGGGGCCCTGTAGCGGACGGTAAAAGTCGCCATCATTGTGCGAGCGAGCGCGCGCATGGCGGCGCACGTGCAGCGCACCGCCTGCAGGCTGAGTCCGGGGTGTGCCTTTGTTGCTGCGTCTCTCTCGCACTCGTGGGTTCCCCCAAAGGGAGCGAGAGGGACGGCGCGACGAGGCGGTGTCCGGAGTGGACCGGCTGGCCCGCCGGGCCATGCCGAGCAGGGACCTGCCGGAGGATTGGGGATTACCCGGCTCGGCACACCGACCGCGTCTCCTGGGGCTCGGCTAGGCTTGGACAGCTCGACTCGCACCGACGGCGCCGACCAGATGCAGTGCAGTGGCAGGCAATGCAGATTGCCAGGTCAGCGCGACAACGTCCCGTGTTGCCACATTCCTAGACACCAGACAAACTACTGCGCACCCGGAGGGGCGCACCAGGATAACATCACGCCGTGGAGTCATAAGGAAGGAGACAGACACCTACACCTATGGATGAGTGCCGTTTTTAATTTTGGTTATGTTTCTTGGGCTGGTTGTGGGTTGGTTTTGGTGTCCACCTCTCTGCGGTTGGCTGACCGGGCGGTCACCCCCTCCCCGCCGTCGCCGCCACCGCTGCAGTCAACAGGGGACGCACGGCCTGCCTCCTGCCGAGGTCGCGGTCACAGCGGCGGTGCGGCGCCAACCACCCACGCGCCCGGCGTGTAGGCAGCACTAACAACGGTGGGCTCCAAGGGGTTGCCTACCTATCGGGCGCTCCCATCGGGAGCACGACAAACCCCGTCCGCATGGCGCGGCCGGCTGCCAGCAGGGGCCGCGGTTTGGCGCTCAGCAGACAGACCAGCCGGCCAGCCGGGGCCCGAGGGCAACGCGCTGTCCCACACCCCGAGAGCGGATACAGTGCAACGCCCCTCCAGCCCCCACGACCCTTGTGACCGAAGAACACCAGCCTCGCACCTAACCAGTCGTTGCCTGTTGTGTTGCACGGAGGAGACGGGGCACATGCCCTCTCTCTCGTAGTCGCAGGCCTACAACAGCATGCAGAGCGACACAGAGGAGCATCGCGGGGAAGGGCTACAGGCCTCACACCGACGGACGCCGTGGCGGCCGAACACGAGTATGGGGTGGGCGTAATGCCTCGGGTTAGAGTCCTGTTCCAGCCGAGAGGTCGCATCAAGAAAAGGGTAGGGGTGAAGCAAAGTAACAATTGCCAAGACGCGTCAAGAAAGAAGAAGACACCGAAAGTGCAACTGTTCCCGAGAACAAGGGACGAAGCAGGCGGGTTCCGGACTCGGTCAGGCTCAAAAGAGGCTGGCCCAGGGGAGGGACGGCACAACCCTCACGGGAAAGGCCTGTCACTAACCCGCGGGGAAGGCACTCTGCGAGCCAGCCGCTTGAGGTTCTTCCCCGCCGAGGTAAAGTTCTCCCCTAGTAAGGACGACCATGTCCCGTTTTGCAGTGCAGGCGGGCATGTGTCGGGCCCGAAATGGCATACGATCATATGTGGTCTAGCCCTTAATGGTAAATGGTAATGGTAATGGAAGGTAGGCAACCCAACGCACGCACATGCGCACTCTGGCCTGCGGGTTGCCCATCCGAGCTTCACAGGCGCTCCTGGCGGGTGGTTTTCCTTCGCACGCCGAGCGGGGAAGTCGATGTTGACCAGAACAGACGGCTGCGCAGCGCAGGCAAGAACCCACACCACCACCACCACCTCAAATACACGATTTTGGTGATTTTTCAAAATTTGTTTTTGCGATTTCTCAGATCCTACGGGCGGGCCGACCAAACCCTTTTAGGGTTTTGTTCCACTATGTTAGGAGATCATTTGGTAAAAGTTAGGTCGAAATCGAAGATAAGCTATTTTGAGAATGGCAATTCTTCGAAAAAAATATGACGAAAAATGAAAATTTTGGCATCAAAACTTCACCCAATCGTCTCGAAACCGTTTTCATCGTGTTCCTCAGCTCTTTTTACGTAAAAAAACACTATGAAAAAAAAACAAGCTAGGGCCCGCCCTTCCGTCGAACCGAGTTGCCAGCTCCGCTTCGCTGCGCCGGCAACTCGGTTCGACAGGGGGCCGGCCCAGCTTGGCCTGCCGGCGGCCTTTCCTCGGGCCTTCGGCCCTCGCATCAGACCCAACTTGGCCAGTCGAAGGCCCGAGCCTTCGGCCCGCTCGCATCACACACACCGTGAGCGGGTTAAGCAAAGTTATCGATGTACCATCGTGACTTTGGCCCGCCCTTCCATTCACAATATGAAATAGTCCTTACACTTTTTACTTCAACTGTTCTTAGAATATGCCCATTTCATTTGTCTCTACGCCCTCATTCCGAAAATACCCATATTTGCCATGCTACTCCTTGCAATAGAGGCACAGCAGGAGCGCAAAACGAGTCCGTCGCACTCTTTCCCATAACTCATGAAGGCGGGCTCCTGGACCCCCCTTCCGACCCCTCAGTAAAGAGGTCTTGCCAAGATCTATTCAAAACTGAAGTAAAAATTTTCAGTCGGTCGACCCCCTTTTTCCAAGATCCTGATGTGACTAATAGACGAAGTCGGGCTCCTGGACCCCCTTTCCGACCCCTCGTTGAAAAGGTATTGCTGAGACCAATCGAAATCTGCAATAAAATTTTTTAGTCGGTCGACCCCCTTTTTTGAAGATCCTGATCTGGCCAACTGGTAAAAGCGGCCGATGGGGTCGGGACCAGGTCCATTCATCTTGTCTCGTCGCCCCGATTCCAAAAATACCCCTATGTGCCCTGCTAGCACCAATAATGGCGGAAATCCCCCTCCCTCTCATGTAAACCATGATGCACCTGCAGCAGCCCTTGTGTGACCCGGAAGGGAGTTGCACCACCGGATTATTTGTTTGGACGGTACTCCTGAAGTACCCTCCAAATCTGATTACTCTAGCTCAACTCCTTCCTTGTACACAGACGCCAACAACAACAACACACAGACACAAAGGCAAATGCATAGCCCCCCCCCCTATTTTTTTAATAGAAGGGCGGGCCAAAAAATCTGCCAGAAAAGAGGAAAGTTAAGGGGGGACCCTGGTGAAAAAATCGCCAAAATTCCAAAAAATAGTATTTTCACAGTTCATAGATAAAAATGTGCATAGAAGGTTTCAAATTCAACAGGTTGAACACCTTTAAGCTAAGTGGGTAGTTTCTTTATCATTTGGAAGGAAATAACATTGAGATCAGTTGTCGTTGGCTTCTACGCTCAACTTCACAGCTTTGCTCAGTCGACAAAAAAATTTGTCGTAGAAAGACTTCCTGCGTTCCTGGTTGACACCAACATGAGTCGTCTTGCATGGACTCTATTCATTGATGACTTGTCGACAAATTTTAGTGACGGAATCTTGATATCAGCCCTACTTTTTTTAAAACACACCTAAAAGTTTGAAAAAAGGGAAAAAAATCACTTTTTTATTAATGTTGAAATTTGAAAACTCATATCTCAGGACAGAAGTTGAATTTGAAAATTCCGTCACTAAAATCTC